GCCGCCCCGCCGCTGACTGAGGCCGGCGCTCGCGCCGCTCAGCGTCCCGCCGTCACCAGCGACAACGGCGGCGCCGCCAATGGGGAGAGGCGGAGGGGGCGGAGCTAAGAAGGGGGGACACGCCCCTCCCTCCCGCCGCCTGCAGGCCACGCCTCCCCCCTCCCACCGGGAAAAGCCGCGGGGGGTGATGGGAGTTGTAGTTCGGGGAGAGGCGAGGCGCATGGGTGCGCAGGCGTCTACATGCGTATCTACATGCGTGTCTACATACGTGTGGGCACGCGTGGGGAGATAACTGCTGACATGCTGAAGTATGTGCTGTCATATGGAAAGACATGTATGTACATGGGGATACACGTACACACATGCTGTCATACGTACATGCACGCGTGCATACACGTGTAGACACGTGTAGATACACGTACATACGTGTATTCACACATTTGACAGTCAAATATATGCAGATATATGTACGTACACGATGACATACGTACATTCCTGCATACAAGTGCAGATATATGTGCATACATGCAGATATATGTACATATGTGCGTATATACACACAGATATATGTGCATACATGCAGATATATGTACATATGTGCGTATATACACACAGATATATGTGCATACATGCAGATATATGTACATATGTGTGTATAAACACGCAGATATATGTGCATACATGGAGATATATGTACATATGTGCGTATAAACACACAGATATATGTGCATACATTCAGATATATGTACATATGTGCGTATAAACACGCAGATATATGTACATACATACAGATACATGTACATATGCGCGTATATACACGCAGATATATGTGCATACATACAGATACATGTACATATGTGCGTATATACACGCAGATATATGTACATACATGCACCTATACATGCTGCGTGGCATCGGTGTGACCCCACTGCAGGACCCAACACTTGACCTTCTTGATCCTCATGTTACTGGAGTCTACAGAGGGATCTGGAGGGGCTCTGTAGAACCTTCTGACCCTCAAGCAGATGAACGTACCCAACTTGGGGGTGTAAGATGGGATGGAGATGGGAAGCCTGGAGAGGTCGGTTCAGACTGTGTGGAGTCCTGCTTATGCTCCCAGCCCCACAGAGGGACATCTGGGATGGTGCCCAGCAGTGGGTTTCATGGGAAAGGCACCCACCTTCACAATGGTGAAGATGAAGGAAGTCCAGAGGAGGCCACGGAGATGCTGGGAGGGCTGGAGCCCCTCTGCTGGGAGGGGGGGCTGAGAGAGTTGGGGGGGTTCAGTCTGGAGAAGGCTCCGGGGGGGACCTTAGAGCCCCTTCCAGTCCCTCAAGGGGCTCCAGGAGAGATGGGGAGGGACTCTTGAGGAGGAAGGGGAGCCATAGGACGAGGGGGAAGATTTTTAAGCTGAAAGAGGGAAGATTGAGATGAGATCTGGGGAAGAACTTCTTTGCTGTGAGGGTGGTGAGAGCCTGGCCCAGGTTGCCCAGAGAAGCTGTGGCTGCCCCATCCCTGGAGGGGTTCAAGGTTGGGTTGGAGGGGGCTTGGAGCAACCTGGTCTGGTGGGAGGTGCCATGTGGGCAGGAGGCATGGAAATCAGTGCCAGAGCACCAGGTCCCTGCGAGCTCACAGCCCTGAGCCCTGGGACTGGGCTTTGGCCTCCGCTTGTCCCTTCCAACCCTTGGTCTCCCTTCCCTCTGTGTGGTGCTTTCAAAGCCAACTACTTTGGCTTTTAAACCTTGTGACAAATCCTAGATGCCAACATCTCAGGCCCGTGAATACCCGCTGTCTCTGTTGCCGTGGAAACAGAAGACTATTATGTTTTAACATTTTTAAGCTATATAAAGACTTGAAATGTCTCTCAAACCCTCAATGATTAAACAAGAGAAGCAATGAAAGGTGCTCCATCAAGGTAGGCTTCAAAAGCCACAGCAGCATCAACCACCCCCTTAACAGCTCCAGCCCAATCACATTTATCCACATCTCCTTGTGACACTGTGTGTCACAATATTCCGCATGGGCTGGGAGGGGGGGCTCTGGGATCAGCCAAGGGAATGGTGTGGCCAGTAGGACTGGGGAAGTGATGGTCCCCCTGTACTCGGCTCTGGTGAGGCCCCACCTTGAAGGCTGTGTCCAGTTTTGGGCCCCTCACTTCAAAACAGACATTGAGGGGCTGGAGCAAGTCCAAAGAAGGGCAACGGAGCTGGTGAGGGGCCTGAAGCACAAGGAGAAGGATCTGGAGAACTTCTGGGTAGACGTGGTGCTCAGAGATATGGTTCAGTGATGGTTTTTGTCAGTGCTGGGTTGATGGTTGGATTCAATGATCTGAAAGGTTCCTTCTAACCTCAGCGATTCCATGATTCTATAAAGCTGTGGCCATGCCCTTGAAGGCCACCACAGGGACAGCTTTCACAGAATCACAGGAGGTCCGGGATTGGAAGGGATCTCTGGAGATCATCTAGTCCAACCCCACTGCCAAAGCAGGTCCACCTAGAGCAGGTCGGACAGGAATGTGTCCAGGTGGATACCAACACCGTTGGAGTCACAAATGTGGTGTCCCAGCACCGTCTGGGCTGCAACCAGGACAGTTGACTCCATGCCAGCCAGACCCAGTGCAGTAAGACTTGGCAGTAGACTTTGTGAGACTATTATCCTCCACTCTCCATGTTGATGGAACTATGACCTATCTTATTGATCACCACTACGAAGCTTCAGCTGTCAACTCTCCAACAGTGGGCCTGGTCGATGACCCCATCACAAGGAGAACAAAGGTCAAAAGAAGAAAAGCCACATACTTTTTCTACAACTGGGGATCCAGCACATATCTGGGGGGCTTCTCTGGGGTCTGCAGCTTAGAATTTGCCTTTTGTGGGTGACATGATAGAATGGTTTGGGTTGGAAGAGACTTTTAAAGGCCACCTAGTCCCAACCCCCTGACATGGGCACGGACACCTCCCACTAGACCAGGTTGCTCAGAGCTCTCCCCACCCAAATCAGAGAGGCTTTGAAGTCTATGTCTTTGGGGATATTCCAAAGCTGTCTGGACATGGTCCTGAGCTGTAGGTGGTCCTGCTTGAGCAGAAGGGTCAAAGCAGATGATCTCCAAAGGTTCCTTCCAACCTCAACCATCCCATGCTACTGTGAAACCAGGTGAGGAGGACTGTAAGCTGGTCCTTTTGGGGATGATGACTGTAGCTGGCAGGTAAGTGAGGAAGTAGAGGGTGAGGTCATCAGTGCATGGGTTTAGGTGACAGGAGCAAAAGAGCTCTTGGGAAGGAGAAAGCCATGGTCTGGAAAGGCTTGACCTGACGTGCCTGTAGGCAAAAGTGCAGGGAGCCTGTGAGGAAAGCAGGAGGAGCTAGAGTTCCGTGCCAGGTCACACACTATGACATCACAGGACAACCTGAGGCTGGTGGGACGGTGTGACTGGAGTGCTGCCATCCATGGATATGGGCCCTGCAGGACAGACACACAGCAGCCTGATGGAGCAACTCATCTGTTTGGAGACGTTCACTGGGGCAGGTGAGTTGCTGGCTGGTGTGTGGTCTTCCTAAACGCAGCTCGTGTGGATGTTTTGAGGTTTGTTCCCCAGTGCTGGGGCCCTTGGTCTTACTCTCCTGGCTGAGCATCCTTGTGGTTGTGGGGTTTCCTTCACACCGTCGTTCCTGGTGCATGGAGTTGCCTTTAGAGGTGAAGGTCTTGGCTACGAGTGGTGTCCACTTAGGAGGGCTTCAAGTCTGGCTCTCTGGAGCTTTCTGTGTGACACAGTGAGCAGAACAACATGTTGGGTTTCCTCTAAGGATTCCCTCGCTGCCTGTTGCAAGCTCTTCTCCCTTGGAGAAAGGTGGTGGGAGGCCTAAAGGCTGGTGCAGATGAATAGCTGTGGAGTGGGAGCGTGGTTGGACGAGGGAGGAGATGCTTTCTGCAGCCCTTGCCTTGTCTTTGCCTCTGCAGAGCACAGGGGAGATGCCTTGGGCAGTGATGGCCCCCGTGGGGAAGGAACTGAGCTCTTTTTGTCAGTGTCCTTCAAGGTTATGGAATGGGGACACAGAGGAGGCCAATGCTGAACCCCTGTTAGGAAATCACAAATTGTTCCTCCTCCTTCCTTCAGCCCTTCTTTTCCTTCTTCCTTTCCCCCTTCGCTTCCTCCTTCCCTACTCCTTCCTTCTCTCCTTTCTCCTTCCCTTTCTCCTTCCTTTCCTTCTTCCCTTTCTTCTTCCTTTCCTTCTTCCCTTTCTCCTTCCCTTTCTCCTTTCCTTTCCTTCTTCCCTTTCTCCTTCCCTTTCTCCTTTCCTTTCCTTCTTCCCTTTCTCCTTCCCTTCCTCATTTCTTTCCTCCTTTTTTTTTTTTTTCTTTATATTTTCCATATTCCATCTTTGCTTTCTGCTTCGCTGCGACTATTTCTTGTTAGGACTGGAGTGGTGCTAGGGAAGAGAGTTGGTTAAGAGCATGGTGACAAGGGGAGGTGGCATCAGAGGTGTGTCCAGGTGAGCAGTACTGAACCCAAGCCTTTGTTTGGGCAAGCGAAGCGCTTGTGTCATCTTCTGCAAGGAAAAAATACGCAAATCTAAGTTGTTTCTTAGAAACTTCCCAGAAGAGGTCTTGGCACCTTGGGGAACTCATCAACAGCTGGCTCCAACAATGCCCATGTTTGTCTTATGATGGAATTGCTCTGCCAGACTTGAGAGAGGCTGAGGAATGGACCATTGGGCAACCCCACACTCGGCTTTGTGCCAGGGGAGGTTGGAAAAGGCTTGGGAGAAGAAAGGAACTGGAGGCATCTCAGGCTGGGATGCAGGAGAACTTTATTGAGGGGAAAAGAGTGCAAAGGCAGGAGCACCAAGTGGAATGGAGCTGGTCTGAAGGGAAGGGGGGACAACCATCATCTGTGGTCCCTTGCATGCAGCAGATCTTCACAGAGCACCGAGGTCTTCCTGCCCGTACGTGGGAGTAGCCCACTAGAGGTCCCCGGTGAGCCATGACTTGTGAGAAGGTTTTTGTACCAGAGACAAGTAGATGTAAGAGAAGGGGTGATGAAAATAAGAAAGTGGGATAAGAGGAGGAGATCCAAGGTATCTGTTTACATGCATCTCGGACAGGACCATTCCCTGCTTCATTGCCTGGTGTCTTGAGAGGAGAAACTCTCGAAAACTAGAAACTTCCATCCATGCATGGCTTCCAGGGTGTCAGGGTTGGTGGCCAGTACCCTTAGCAGATGTTGCAGCCTCTTCCGCCATAGCATCCACCCAGGCCTCCCAAGCCGTAGCCGAAGCCGTAGCCAAAGCCACCGGAGGAGACGGGCACTCCCTGGGCGCTGAGTTCGTTGCCCACGGCAGCCGATGCGGAGGATCCGACGAAGGTGCTCTGGGGGTGGGAGGTGAGGATGGGTCCTGGCAGGGTGGCCACCACGGTGGAAGGCTGGATGACGACGCGGGAGGCCTCACACTGCCTGACACAGGGCTCGTTGCAGCTGTTGGCCAGCGGGGTGGGTCCGCAGGGGCGGCAGAGGTCGTAGCAGGCCATGTGTGTGGTGTGGAGGGTCCCTGGAAGAGAGGGTGTTGAGGAAGGGGAGGGGGCGGCGGGTGGTGGAGGAGAGGGGCGTTGTGGGTGAGGAGACGGAGGGTCAGGGGGTTGAGGCTCACCTTGTTGAGGGTGGAGGAGAAGGCGTGAGGAGAAGTGTGTGAGGGAGAGAGGCGCTGGGCCGGCTTTTATGCTGGTCCGCGAGGGGCGGGACAGGCTTTGCACGTGACAGAATTATTCAACAAGCAGCACTTTTGTGCCACATCCGGGCAAGTCATGAGGTGGGGCGTGTCTTCCTTCTCACCA